TACTTAAAAATATAAATTTTAAATCTATATACTTCAGTGGGTTTTAGTATATTCACATGGTTGTACAATCATCACCACAATCAATTTCACATTTTCATCTCCACAAGCAGAAACCTTACCTGCCTATATTCATTTACTTGGGAGAAGCCCTCCAAGCAACTGCCAGGAACAACACAGTAACTTTTTAACAGAGTTTTCACAAACAAACTTGTGTTTGTTTTACTAGGAAGAAGTCCCTCTCATGATCATTCTAGAAGTCATCCCTCAATATTGTTTTAAATAATACTTTATTTAGTACAGAGAACTGTTAATTATAGTATAATCTTATTCCTAAAATAATTTTCAGATAAATACTAACTTAAAATAATATAAAAATTCAGGCCAGGGATATAGCTCAGCAGCATTAGTGCCTGCCTCGCAAGTGCAAGGTCCCGAGTTCAATCCCTGGTACCAAAAAAAAAAAAAAAGAGATAGATAGATGGATAGACAGACAGACAGACAGACAGACAGACATCTATATAGAGAGAGACAGTGCTAGTGGCTCACACCTGAAATCCCAGCACTCTGGGAAGCAGAGGCAGAAGGATTATGAGTTTGAGTCCACCCTGAGCAACTTAAGAAGCCCTTGTTGCAAAACAAAAACAAAAACAAACAAAAAAAGGCCTGTGGCTATAGCTAGTTCAGTGCAGTGGCACTGGGTTCAATACCCAGTACCATATACACACATACACACACCTAAATGTTAAACCTGAAATTATGAAATCACAAGTAAACATGGGAAAAACTTCCAGACATTGGCAAAATAATTTTTTAGATAGGCATCAAAAATAAAATAAAAGAATGAGGCTATATCAAACTAAGAAGCTTAGCCAGGCACAGTAGTGCATACTTGTAATCCCAGCACTTGGGAGGCTGAGGCAGGAAGACTACTGTGAGTTCAAGGCCAGAGTAAGCTCTGTAGTGAGTTCAATACTAGCCTGAGCTACATAGCAAGACACTATCTCAAAAATTCAAATAAACAAACAACTTTAAAAGTTTACTTAGAGCAAAGAAAATCAACATGAGAAATTATGGATTGGGGGAAAAAATTAAATATTCATCTGATAAAAGATGGATATCCAGAATATATAAGGACCTAAAAGGCTGAACATTGAAAAAACACACACAGGGGCTGGGGAGATACAGCACCGTGGTCTAAGCACCTGCCTGGCAAGCGCAAGGACACAAGTTCGATCACCAGTACCTCACGGCATGCCAGCCACTAAAACTGGGCATGATGGTACGTACACACATGTAATCCCAGCACTGGGGAGGCTGAGACAGGAGGATCACTATGAGTCCAAACTATGTAGCGAGACCCTGCACCAAATGAATAAATAGATCTTTTAAAGAATTAAAAAAAAAAAAACCACACACAAACACACAAATAATACAATTTATTCTTTTTTATTTATTTTATGTATTTAGTACAGGGTATACAGGGTCTCACTACGTAGATCAGACTTGTAGTGATCCTCCTGTTTTCAGCCTCCTAAGCGCTGGGATTACGAACAATACAATTTAAATATGGGCAAAAAACTAAATAGGCACCTCTGAAAAGAAGACAAACAAGTGGCCAACAAGTATACAAAAAAATACTCAATGTCACTAATCATCAGAAAAATGCAAATCAAAGCCACATGATGTCATCCCACTAAAATGGCTATCATCAAAACACAACAACAAATAATGGCAAGGACATGGAAAATGAAGGGGAGAACTCTTATATACTATTCATATGAATTTATATTGTACAGAAAATTATGGAAAACGTAATTTTTCCAAAATGGGAACTCCTGAAATGGTACTACCATAAGATCCCATGTTTCCTGAAATCAATATAGATGCCTTTCAGCAGATAAATGGCTAAAGAAAATGTAATAGATAATGGCTGGCTGGCTGGGAAGAGAGAGACAAAGACAGACAGAGACAGACAGAGATAGAGACAGTGACGAGGAAGATTGTTTAACTGACCATGAAAGGAATTAAATCCTGTCATCTGCAGCAAAATAGATGGAACAGGAGGTCATTATGTTTAGTGAAGCCAGACACACAAAGGCAAACAAATACTACTTCTTAAAACTCATTTGTAGAGACTAGTAAGTCAAGCTTACAGAAGAATAGTGCTAAAAAGACTGGAAAGAGAGTGGGAAAGCAAGACAGAAAGTTCATTAAGGGACTCCAAGACAAAGTTAAGAAATTTTTCTGGTTCTTCTTAGGCACAGTAGAGTATCTACAGGTTAAAACTATCTGTATTTCAAAATAATTAAAAATGAAAAATATGAAATTTCCACAATGGTTGACTGAAGAGGTAGAAATACTTTCTACCCAGATTTGATTGTTATATACTGAATTACTAAGGGATACCATGTATCCTGTAAAGTTATACAAATTAAAAATACTATTGCCTTACCTTGAGTTTTTCTGATGTCCGTTTTCCACCAAAGCCTCCAGAGCCAACAACAAACAGAGAATACTGACTATAACATATAAGTTCCGTCCCAGAATAAGAATAGACTAGAAAGTAAGTAAAAGTTGGTATAAACAAAACACATAACTACTTAAAATATGATCAACAGCTTCTTTAAATGTTTCAAAACCAAAATCCAGTTCCTGAAGGGGTTCTACAAGAACAGGCATGTTTGCATCACAGAACACTCACTTGAATACATTCTCCACTAGACTCTGACCGACAGAGAGAAGCAGCACTTCACAAAGCCTTTTACTAGGAAACAAACAATTTTTTCTATTCCTAAATCTCCCCAAACTGCCATTCAAAATTCCATCTTTTGCATCGTAAACATTTCAAAAAATTCCAATAGAGAATGCAAATAAATACATTCAAACTTTCAAACATTCTGTCAAGGCACTCAGGAGCATTAAATATAAACAAGAAAGTAATAATAAAGGTATAGCCCATGTGGGGTGGGATCTTGGCTGTTCTCTTCACCATTATATAGTGAGAAATTGGAATAATGCCATGGTACAAAATAGGAGCATAATCATTAAATTAACTATCAGAGTAGTAAATAAATTATATGAGTAAGCAATCTGGCAAATAAAAAAATGACTAAGACAGCAGATCTTGTATTTACTAATTTAATACCTACCTAGTTCTTAAAAACTACGAATATGATTTTGAATTGCATACCAAAGACAAAAATTAATTATAACAAAATAAGGAAAGTTATAGCAACCTGCATTTAAAATAATATTTTTATCTTTATTGCATATGAAATGAGGATAACATTTCATCTAAACTGTATTTATAGTACCTAGTACACTATAACTCATTATCAATGTGTAGCTAAAAAATGAGACACCTTAAGTGACAATGATAAAAAGCAAAGCTAGGGTAACTGAATGACTCCTGTTCTGTGATACATTACATTTAAGAAAGCTAACACATTATCGCAAAAATTTTAGCCAAATGTTGACAAACATCTGGAACAAAAAGTATAAAAACTCAAAAATAAAAGAGAAAAAAAGATTAAGAAAAAGGAGAACATTCATAATATTTGAATATCAAAACATAGTTTCAATATATTGGCAAGTTCCAAAACAGTATATTCAGTACAGATGACTACTGACTTTCAATGATTCAACTTAAAATTTTTCAGCTTTACAGTGGTGTAAATATTGTACATGAGTACTCAGTGGAAATTAAACTTTAAATTTCAAATGTTGATCATATCTACCCTTTCCCTAAGGCCAGCAAAACTCAGTGTGAAAAATTCCTGCAATGCTGGGCAGGGGTTGGAAACCAAAGGTCCCAGTCAACCAAATGATGGTACAAGTAAACAACCAATACCGAACACTGTTTTGTGCTGCTGAGCTATGATGTTTCATACTAAGTGCATTCAATGCTTTTTTGTTTGGTACTGCTAACTGAGCCCAGGGAGCACTAGGCTATACTCTGAGCCCTTTCTAAATTATTGTTTGAGATAAAGACTTGAACTAAATTGCCCGGGCTAATCTTAGACTTGTGATCCTTCTGCTTCATCTTCTGGAGTAGTTGGGATTCAATTTAGAAAAGATTTATCAGGACATATTCCTCATGGTAATCAAGAAGTATTCTTTGTATTACTATATAAAAATTAAAAGGTATACATTCCAAACATCAAGCAATATTAGTTTTTCTACTATTCTTTTCTTCCAGATTTTTCACAATAAATTTTTCTTCTTAAACCTTAAAATAAAATTTAAGCAATGTGTCTTATGTTTAATTATTTTTTAAGCTTATGTTTAATTACTAGTATTTCAACATTTACTAAATTACTATAATCTTTTTTTCCCACTGAAGGCTATGGTATTTTAAATCACATTATGCATTCAATAGGTTTCACTGTACAAGCCTAGAAACCTACTATTTAGAAGAATGAGTCTGTGGTTAAATATGTTCAGAGTTCCAAGTAACACAGAAAAGAATACAACAACAAAGCATATCAATTGAAGGCTAATATTTTTTCTACCAAAAATGTATTTCAGCAAGCGTAATTCTCATCTATAATTCTATACAAGCCACATTTCTCAACTCCATGCTTTAGTAATGTTTAAATTCAATGAAATGCTCCATTTTTTCTGGCCCTAGCTGCAGTCTACTTCATTTTCCCCTCCTACCTTATTTTTCTTAAGAAGCTTATAAAATTTTTAAATACTAATCTTGCTTTCTTGCATAATGGAAAATAAATTACACATATTAGTCAACTTCTGTAGTGAAACATTATGTTACAAAATAACTACATGCATCTTGGGCAACTGTTACACTGAATATTAAGTACTGCAAAAATATATTAATAAAAATTAAATTTAAAAAAATTTGTTACATACAAAGCTTATCAATCTAACAATATCATTGTAGGAAATGTAAATAAGTTACCATCCAAAATAATTACTAAGCCAGATCCTTTATCTAAGATATCAGCAATAACTGCTTCACATTTTAACTTTCCTGAAATGAAATGAAAAGTAAAATTATTATTGTTTAAAAATAATACCTTATTCAGACATTAAATAATATAACAGCTATAAAAAAATAAAATTTGAAAAAATTTTCCTAAAACAAAAAACAGTCAACATGAATAATTCAAGATACCTGAATTTCTAATACATTAATATTTGGGTTTTTTGGTGGTGGTGGTGGTACCAGGGATAGAACTCAAGACTTTGCACTTGCCAGGCAAGCACCTATTCCACTGAGCTATCTCCCTGGCCTCCTGAAGCATTATTTCTGAAAAATAAGATTAAAAAAAAAATTTTTTTTCAATGTCAATGAGCCTTCTTGATCTCTATTATGTTGTCATCCAACAAATGTTTACTGAGCACCAATATCATCTACCCCATACTCCTTTAACTCTCAGTGTCAAAGGGAAGCTGTTTAAAATAGCTTGTTCTTGTATAGGCTGTCACTGTGTTTAAATGGTAATGTCCTAATAGATTATCACTACTAAGGCGTGCTCATCTTTTTCTCAAAGCCTGCTCTTTTCTTTGCTTCTCTACATGACTGAATGACACTAACCATCCATCCAGCTGCCAAGTCACAAACTTAAACATCAAGACTTCAGTATGCAAAATTGGTAGAAGCTAGGTCATATTAAGATGTTTCAACTTTACCCTGAAGCCTACAGATAGCCATTTGGAGTTCTAAGTGGGGAAGCAGCAACACATTTGTACTTGCTGTCATGAGAAGAGACTGGAGAGGAACAAGAATAAAGACAGAATACTCAGAAGGTAAGATAAAAACACAGCAAGAAATGAAGGGGAGGTAGAGAATCAAATAACTAGTACCCACCAGGATGTGAGACATGGTAAAAGAGATGCCAAGCATCAAAAAGACAAGCCCAAGTAACACATCTCAAAATCCAATCAGTTCACAAACTTTCCCCTTTTCAGCATCCACTAGTCTTTAGGGTGAAACTGAGGCAACTTCCCTCTTTACTCTCATTCCTTACTATCCTTCTGAACATGGACTTTAGGACATTTGACCTATCTTCAGTTCCCCAAACAGTTGATGCATCTCACTTCCAAACCTCTGTACACACTATTTTTTGTTTGAAATATTTTTCAATCTCTTCCCTGCACAAATACAAATACTAATTCAATCCTCAGATCTCACCTTAGAATTTATTCCCAAAAACCTTTTCCCAAACTAAATTCCAGGTTACAGACCTTTTGTTTGCACCGGTGTGCACTTACATTGCTTCCATTATGAAGGAATGTTTATCATTGCCTATTGTCTCCTAGACAGACTCCAAGCACTGCATAAACAAGATATTATCTTTTCCATAGTTATACTGTCAACTGTTAGAATGCCTGGCACATAATAAAATTTAAATATCAAATAAGTAATTCCAGACAAATTGTTTTCATGATCCACTTTTCTGTAGTTTCTAATTTTTCTATATGTATATGTTATTCTAGAATTTTGTACAAATCTATTACTTAAGAGAAAAAAATAGATCCTACACTAACAAAACCACAGCTCTGTGACATTCTACTTTGAATGTCAATAATTCTATTTGCATAATGCTTAACTGTTCAAAGCATTTTCATATATACTAATCTTTAATCGTCACACATTCCCTAAGCAAATCAGAGTTGGTAACATTATCAATCTCACTTCCCAGAAGAAATATTATTTTTGTACTAAGTTATCTTGAGAAAGGAATCTATTAAAGGTCATCTAGCAACATAAATCAAACTCAGATCATCTGCAGAATAGAACATCCTGAATAGATCATTTTTGGTTCATGAAGATACATAGGGCCATTACTGGTCTCTTTCACTCCATCTAATGACTGTCCAGTCCTGATGAGGGAAAGACAGCTGATGACTTACAAAAGAAGATGGTGATATTGGTCTGCTCAAATGATTGTACAGAGATTGTAACTAGTAGTTATATCCTTCTGTTTTGTGCAATTTAAAAACCATAGTACCTCAAAATTTGAATACATTAATGACAATAAACTTGACAACTACAGAATGAAAATGCACAAGTGCTATTTCAAAATAATTTATGAGAAACATAACTTGAGGATAAGGAGGTAAAATACATTAAGAAAAATAATTGTGCCATTGTAATCATTCTAGAGTGTTATGTCTAATCTCTCCATATTTTAAAATCCTTAAAGGTAGAATCAAATACACTTCCAAATTCACTTACAACGATGGATGCCAAATGAACCAGTTAGGCTGGTGAAATACAAGAGGCCTTCCCTGCCACTGACACCACCACCATCCACAAGCACATATATGAACTCCTCAAGGGTGGGGTCCAGACTGTCTGTTATGGTTTAAATACAAAATGTCCCCAAAAGTCTATTCAGAGATGGGGCTCTACTGGAAGGGGATGGCCCCTGAGGGCTCATCCTTTTTTTTTTCCTTACTGAGATGAGGCATTTATTTAGTTGCTGGTATCTGCTTTAAAGTAATTCTAGGCTCAGATCCAGGAAATATGGTTGCTCAGAGAGGGGTCTTCACTTGTTCCTTGCAGTGAGGGTTGTTTCATAAGGGCTCATCTTTGTTCCTAGCCCCCTTCTCTCGCTTCCTGGTTGCTGTGGGACAAGCAGCTGTCCTCTGCCAGCCTTCCCCTCTGTTGTTTCTGCCAACTCAGGGCCAAACCCCCTGGAACTGAGCCAACATAAGCCTCTCATCCTTTAAGTTGCAGACATTTTGTCCTAAGGAAAAGAAAGTGACTAACACCATATTTTACAAAAAATAATGGATAACGTAATAACTTAATTAATATGTTGTCAGCTTAGAAAAGTATCTAATATCTAATACTATGTATCATAAAAGGTAAGTATTCAGCAGATATATGATGAATGTAGTCATCACAAACTGAGCTTTCAGATAAAACAAGTTGAAGTCTATGCTGTGATACTTAACACTGAAATAAAGCAATAAAACACTCAAAACTTTAAAGGCTTAAGAAAAAATAGGACTCTTGTTGACTTCTGTATTACATAGTATAAACACTACTTTTTTTTTTTAACCACCTTATCTAGCCAATAAATCAGATGATATTCTGACATCATAGGAAAAAAATACTGTATACCAAGTTACAGTGAAAGCTTTGGTAAACAAGCAAGATTGAGAAAAGATGAGACCCAACACAGGTTTATATTTACCTTGTCAAAAAAAGAGGAAAAATTACAAGAAATTTGGAGTCTTTAAATATTGTTCACTTTATAAAAATAAGTATCAAGATAAATATCTGAGAAAAAGAATGAAGAACTTTAATCATAGGGGTCGCAAGTGTTAGCACAATCACTACACAAGAGCTGGCGAGATAGCTCAGCCAACTAAGTGCCTGCTTAGGCAAGTGCAGAGATGGGGATTCAATCTCCGCTGGCCACAGGGACAAGGAGTGGTGGCATATGCCAGAAATCCCAGGGCTGGGGAGGCCGAAAACAGGAGGATCACTATGAGTCCAAGCTGTGTAGTGAGACCCTGTATCAAATACATAACCATGACTCAGGTCAACAATTTCTGACATTGCCAGTCAAGCAGAAAACCCAATACTATTATGGGCTACTGGACTCTTTTAGAATATTTTGCTGAGTTTACACACCTATAATATTCAAATAACGGAACTTAACAAAAAAAGGGTATAAAGATGTATGTCCATTTTGTATCTGTGTATTCAAAGTGGTTAGGATAGATATATAGTTACATTCTCTTAATGAATAGAGTGATTTGTTCTAATGGTGTTTGTAAATAGGATATCATGTCCGCATCTTGTATAGCAATTAACCACTAGGAAGAATGTATGCAATGTGTTAATTATTGAAACTGTCCTACCAATTTGATTTGAAACTGTCTCATTTCTATTTGTTTATCAATAAAATTATGGAAAAAAACAGGATAGATATACAGCTACTTTCTCTATTCAATGAGATGAAAGATTTTTATTAATAGTGTTTGGACAGGATATCATGTCTGCATTTTGTACTATGAATAACTACTACAAAGACAACAATATGCAATGTATTGATTGTTGAAACTGCCCTACTAACCTGTTTTGAAACTGTCTCATGCTATTTGTTTCTCAATAAAATAAAAAAAGAAAAAAAACAAATACATAACCACACACACACACACATACACACACAAATGTCCTTTTCAGCTGCTAATAACACATACATTAGTAGAATACACTGATAGTAATATAAAATAAGTTACTGTAAAATGGTATCAGACAAAATCTAAGATAACCAAATAGTATATGGGCACATAATTATTTCTGGTTTATTTTACCAGGCTAACTACTCTATGACAGTTTAACACCATAACAGAGTTTGGAGGATTAATCAGAAAATAAAACTGTGGTATTATGGAACTAATATATCAGGGACTTACCTGCTCTAGGAAATGGCTTATATATTTGCAAGTACTGTTCCCCATGAAGAACCTATGTTAAGATAAGTAAAATTTTATTAGTAACCTTTCTTGTCCCCAGGTTCTGCCTGGGGAAAGTGCTAATCACAAGTGGCATTTGATGTTCACATGCTCACACCACTACTATTTCCATATCATCTATCTCAGCTTGGCTTCTACTTCCTAATCCTCTCATCCAGAAAATATCAGTCCCCCTATATAAAGACAACCAGTACTTCTGGGAAAGATACATTTGTGTTCTTTCTGGGCATTCAAGAATCCTTCTTCCCTGATAATTACAGACTATTTACCAATAAAAGTTCCTAAATAGGTTGTACTCTCAGTGCTTTAACAATGCCTGAAACATAATTATCTGTTGAATAAAAACAGACAAAGGAGCCCATGCTAGTGAGGTAAGTTCAGGTCATATATACCAAAGAGAAATGACTCAACAAAAACACTAAGGAAAACCTTACCAGCTCAAAGTAAAAGTACTTTCAATGTCAACTATATATTATAACTATTTATAAAGAGTAAGTACTAAAAACACCATGTAACTTAATTGTAATTTAATAGAACTCTTCCATGTATCAAAACAAGAATACACCAATGTATATGGAAAAACAACAGGTTAAAAAAAAAAAAAGTAGTCCTCACACCCAAATGACTATATTCCACTTCAGTGAAATAACCTTGTAGTCTTCCTCAGAATTCAGAAGGTTGAAAAAAAAAAAAAAAAGACAGAAAGGAAGTTGATGTGAAAATAAATGAAAGACTGCCTGCCTCTCTATGTTGTACAGCTAGGAAACCCAAAGTACACAAGACTGGCATTCAAATTCTAAGACTGCTGGCATTCTTGGTCACAGACTATAAACACCACTGAGGACGTCCAACTCTGAGAGGAAATTGCTTTTATTTTTACATTTATATTATCCAAACAGAACAGTGTGCCACAAATAACATAAGAGTAACTAAAATAGCAAACTGTTTAGCATATATTTCTAGTCTTCCTCCTAAATTCATAAAATGCTCTAAGAGAGTAAGTTCCTATCCTTTAAAAAGGGAGAGCCACTGGCAATGGGCAAGCAGATCCAATCAATCAAAATCACAGAAATCTGCTTATGGCTTTATGAGTCAACAATTATTTGGGGGTTCAACCTGAATCATACTTCAAGGACTAAAATATACTCTCCCTCCAAAGTTTTCTCACAACTGTCCATTCCTTCCTGCTTGAAACATTCTATTCATTTGGCTTCTCAAACATCACATTCTCAATGTATTCCTCATACCCATGGGCCATGCTTCCAAGTCTCTTTCCCTAGATTTTTTACATCTCTTTAATCTCTAAACTACAGGGCCTCTGAATTCAGGTCGCTCCTCCAATTCTGCTCACGCATCAGTGATGTGCATCTCTCAGACTTCAAACATTATCTAAATACTAAGGACCTGTTAAAGCTTTCTTCCAAACTCTACAACAATATTCAAATGCCCTCTCTACATCTCCAAAGAACTGAGTAATAGGCATCTCAAACCTATCCAAAACAACTCCTTAAAATGTTATGTGTATATGGTCACATGCAGTAGTTATGTCATACATGACTGCTGTACACAGCAAATGTATTTACATAATACTATGGGTTTATATATATATTATATGTATGTGCACATACACACACAATTTCAGTTGACTCCTCTTTTCCTTCCCCTTATGTTTAGACTGCTACCACAGAATCCTAAATAGTTTCTCATCTTTTGTGCTTGGCTCTTACACACCTCTTCTCCAGATCCCACTAAGAATGAAATATTCAGTGAATATAGCCAGATCATGGCTTCCCTTACTAACCAGAGTATAAGTTGCAGTCTTTATAAGGATTACAAAGTTCTCCTTTCCTATCACACCTGATCAAAATGACCTTTGCGCACTTGGGCTATACTGTCCCCCACACTGCTCCAACACCAAGTCAAGTATGCAGCTACCTATCTCAGTGTCACTACAGGTGTTCTCTCTGTCCTAAATATCCCCCTACACACAAAATAAGTTGGTTTATTCTTTCATCAGCATCATGAAATAAGGATTATAGTTCTATTTTATAAAGAAACTGAAACCTGAAGAAGTTATTTATACTTGATCAAACAACAAACATCAGATAAAAAACATTATCCCAGGGTTTGCAGACTGTGCATAATTATTATTATTTTTTTTTGCTGGCATTTTATTTATTTATTTTTGGTAGCAGGGATCGAACTCAGGACCATTTACTTGCCAGGCAGGTGCTTATGCCGCTGAGCTATCTCCCCGGCCCTGGCATTTTAAACTAATACTCCTAAGGACTCTTATATTCTTAAAAGAAAAAAAAAAAAAAAAAAATCAAAGGCTGTGCTTAACTTTTATTCCTGAATCAATCACTGTGAATGAAATATTTTGCAGTTTTTGAATATATATGTACATACATATACAGGATGTGACATTTGCCAATAACATTTAAGCAGAATACAAGCAAAGAAAAATTTCTTAGTAAGCATACCTTTGCAAAGTTGATTGGAAGTCCAGGAATTTCTGCTAATCCTCCACCAATCATAGATTTCTGAGCTACAATAACTCCATAAGTAGGCAAACAGGAGAAATCAGAACTTCCTTCGTAGAGAAATTTCAAATCATTTGTATCTTTCACTGATGCTCCCACTCCAAGGGCATACATAATAGTGTCCAGTTCCGTATAAGCAGAAAAATATGAAGGAAGTTTATACCCAATAGCGCTAGCCTACGGAACAGTTGTTTAAAAAAAAAGAATTATTTTTTCAAAGAACAACACATGCTGGTGAAACTGTGGTGAAAAGGAACCCGCTTTCATTGCTGGTGGAAATGTAAACTAGTACAATCATTATGGAAGTCATTATAAACATTTCTCAATTAAATTAGAAATCCCATATGACCCAAGTATCCCTCTGCTATCTTCCTGAAAGAGCTACATCATACACAGTGATACATGCATACCAACATTTATACAGCCCAACTTGTAATAGTTAAATCCCAGAAACAGCCTGTATACCCATCAACAGATAATTGGATAAAGAAAATGTGGTATCTTTATATAGTAGAATACAACTGTGCTATGAAGAATGACAGATTTGAGACATCTGTAGGAAAAAATACATTTGAAAATTAAAATGCTGAGTGAAATAAACCAGAAACACAAGCTTAAATACTGTATAGTACCTCTAATCTGAGTAAAGCAAAGTACAAATAGAATAACAAAGGATGGTTAAAAGGGGACAAGGAAGTAATCCAAAGAAAAAGGCACAAGGGGTGAGGTAGAGAAGGAGAGATAAGTAGAATAAATATACACCATGTATAGGAACCTAATAACCTCAATCAATGTAAACATTATATACTATAGCATGAGTTATGATTAATATCCACAAGAATGAAAAATGGGATGGGGAATCAGAAAAGAAACAGGAGGAAAGGGGAAGTGATAAACTGTACAAGCTACAAATATGTACTAATAAAAAATTTTAAGTAATTTTTCATTATATTTTCATCAAATCTTTGATATATTAATGTTTCAGAACTATTACCAATTTATATACCTAGTTTTGCTTTTGAAAAGACCTAACTAGAATGTCAGTGAACTTAATGGAGACAGTTTCTTTATATTTGATTTTTTAAATAAAAGTCAATCAGATTATATCTAGAAAGGTTTTCATTTACAGATAAGTACTTTTATTGGTTAGTTCTTGCTAACACATAATGTCTCACTTTCAATTCTCTTGTCTCTGATAGTAGAAAACCCTAATAATTTCACAAATAATGGCTACACAAAATAATTTATTATAATTAGGGATAATGAGCTGCTTTATAAGATAAACTGTATAAAATTCACTGTAAACATGTAAGTAAAACATTTCTCAGCACTTATAAATTACACTGTTTCAGTAATACTTTTGAGTTGCAGGCCAGGCAGCATAAGCGCCTGCCTGGCAAGCGCAACGTCCAGAGTTCGATACCCAGTACTGCAAGAAAAATAAACAAAGGTCTGGGGAGATGGGTCAGTAGAATAAGTGCTTCCCTGGCAAGCACAAGGGTCTTAGTTCAATTCCTGGTTCTACAAAAAAATAAAATAAAATAAGCAAACAAACAAAAAAATCTTTGAGTTAAGGTGAAATTTAACCTGACATTCATTCCTTCCCAGAAATGTGTTTTGTCAAACTGAATGTTGTATTTTTGAGTTTAGTGATGTCTAGACCTAGCCATAACATGAAGCACATTAGCTTATAAAATAATGTCTGAGTTTTTAATCACTTTTATCCTAAAGCAGGAGTTAGAAAATAAGGGTTAAAACCTAAGAAGGGTTTTTATAATTTTTTAATGTATCAGTTACTTAATTAGGTTCTTAGTAATATAAATTTACAATACTAATTTCTGAGGATAAATTTCATTTCTCAGAGCAGAAATGGATAGCCTCGGAGCTGAGGAACAGCTCTGATTTCTGCTAAAATCTGAATCCACCCCTTTCTGATCCACCTTGTGCTGCTCTGAAATCTGATATCTCACTTTCTCAGTGTTGAAGATCTTACCATCCTGGTGCATGGGTTTCTGCAGCTTCTTCTTCTTGAAGTAAGCATCAGTGAGGTGTTTGGGGATTTTCACTTTGCTGATATCAATTTTTGTAGAGGTGGCAATGAGAAATTTCTGGTGTGTTCTTCATAGAGGAACACAATTAAGACCAAGAGGCCCAGTCACAAGTAGCAAGCCACTCTCTAACTGCTTTAGCAAATCACTCTCTTGCCTCTGTGATGCCCAGTGAGGATGATCAGGATGGTGCCAGGAGTGATGTTAGCTCGAAGTTTCCTCATATGCTAACTGAAGGGTTTCTTGCCATGGCTCAAGAGCTTTTGGGGCATATCTTCAGTAGGGTAGTATCTAGGCATTTTTCAAAGCTTAACCACCCAGGTACCTCCATTCTTGTCCCCACCGACTGGTTTTGATTGAGCAAGAACTTTCTCCTTCTTTTTCTTCTTAACCTTTGATTTAGCAGCTGTGTACTTTCCCTTATACAAAGCCTTTCTGGAATACATAGCAGATCGAGAGTATCTACCAATTCCTCTAACCAGGACAGGATTTCAGCTGCAGTGGGGCTGCCCCTTCTTGGACTTTTTTTGTCTTCACCTTAGCCTTTATACCAGTACCACTGGCAGCAGCCTTCTTGGCTTCAGGTTTCTTCTCTTCAGTGCCTGGCTTCTCAGTTTTTTCACTCACCATCTTGCAAGATGGGAAAGAGCAGGTTTTTATAATTTTAATAGATAGTCAAGAAAAGAAAAATGGTCAGGGACATAGCTCAGCAGTACAGTGCTTGCCTGGAAAGACCAAAGTCATGAATTTGATTCCCAGTACCAAAACAGCTCAGGGCATATAGTCCAGTAATAGAGCACATAGCCAGTCTCTTAACTGAAACTTGTTGATATATTTCCAAAATATAATCTGCTACTGACCAAAAATTAGAGAAAAATGAAGGCTGCAAGGCCCCATTGCAAGGAGATTATGGGGCCACAGAGGAAATGAGAGATGATGTAGAGTGTGCCTAAGGAGAGTCACATGGAGAGAAAACATTCTCTCAGGCTTTCACAGAAAACAAATTGGTCAAGCAATGGCCATGACTCATCCACATGGCTGACACTCACAAAGGATCTACAAACTGTGGTACAGGGTTTCATGGTAAATCCTGAGGGCATTTGACTAACCCTGTCAGATACAAAAGTTACATTTCTTGTTATATAGGTCTTGCTTTATTTTGGTCATAACCATCCAGCAGGAAAATATAAAAACAAAGTATAAAAAGTAATGCCATATTAATATGCTGAGCTGTAAGTGGCTCAAGTCAACAACTTCTGACATTGCCAGTCCTACGGATAACCCACTGTTATGGACTACTGTTCTATATTGTAATATTTTGCCGAAATCATGCACCTACAATATTTAAATGGCAATGGAATACCCACCTCTGACAAAACTAAACAAAAAAAGGAGGGATACAAATGAAAGACCACTTTGTATCTGTATATTCAAAATAGTATAGATACACAGCTGCATTCTCTTAATTCAATGAATAGATTTGTTCGAATAGTGTTTGTGGACAGGATATCATGTCTGCATCTTGTACAATGAACAACCACTAAGACAACAATATGCAATGTATTAATTTTTGCAACTGTGCTAGTAATCGGTAATGAAACTGTCTCATTGCTATTTGTTTCTCAATAAATTTAATGTATATATAATCTGCTATTCCTTTCCCTTAAAAGAACAAAAGTCAGTGAGTAATAAAATACTCTTTTCTAAAAAGTTAGAAAAATAGGATTATCAAAGAATGGTCATGAAAAAGTATTTATCAAACTACACTGACAAAGAGAAAAAAGTTACATTTAACATTCACTAATGTTCATTATCTATAACATACTTTATGAAAAGTTTTGTGGTCAATTACCAAGAAATACATCAGCAGCTTAGAAAATAACATTTTGTATATGTTTCAAAATTGTTTTACAAAGTCTTCTGTTTGGTAGATTAAGAAAAAAACAAAACAGACTGCAGCATAGAACAACCCCACAAATTTTCACAGAACTCAGAACTACTCATCATCAGTTTAAAGTTAGGTTTGAAGAGATAAAACAGATATCAATGGTGCAATGAAAACAATGTATGGAAAGAGGCAGGCAGGCTGGCAGACAGAGACCTGGGGAACAGATAACAGCTTCATTTCAAGTTCTAACCCATTTTCCCCCTTCCATCTAGCATCTCCCTGTATTAACTCACAACAGCAATGCAGGAATAAGGGGAGCTAAAGCACCAATCAGAGAACTAATTTATCAAACCCCCAAAGAAACTACCAAAACATACATGCCAGTGAAGAGAGTACTTTGGAAAAGTCCTTAGGAAAAGCTCCCAGAGTGTTTTCTTTTATTTCAGCATGTTTTCATTCACCCAGAATAGCCAAAAGAAGCTGAGCAGGTTAGTGTCCTTTCTCCTACACTACTCACACACTGTAACAGTGGTGGTGAACCTATGGCACACATTTTTTTTTCCTTTTTTTTTTGAACCAGGGATCAAACTCAAGACTTTTCCAGGCAGGTGCTTATGCCACTGAGCTATCTCTCTGGCTTGTTTTTCTTTTAAAGCAAAAAATGTTAATATACGAGCTGCTTTATCTCAACTAAAATCACAGTATTCAGGCTTAACTGCCAAGTCCACATTTTGTGATAAATACATGGGTTTTGGGTTACAGTTTGGACACTTGTCTCTAAAAGTTCTGCCATCACTGCACTAGGAAGAGCTTTGAAAACTGTTGCTCAGTTGCCTGGATCTTCTTTCTAGGGTTCTCCATTAAAAAAAAAAAAGCCCAGCAGAGTCCAGAGCAAGTTAAGAAAAGGAGAGGTGGAAATTCCAGAGTTCACCATTTACCCTAGTTCACTTCCTTATGTGGTGGTGCAATGTCGAGTATCAGAACATGCCTTGGGGCCAGAGAGATGGCTCAGTAGAATAAGCACTTGCCTGGGAAGCACAAGGGCCTGAGTTCAATCCCTGGTTCCCCCTTACAAAAAAAAAAAAAAGAAAAAGAAAAAAGAACCTGCCTTGCTTTGCTATGGCCAAAGCACAGACATTTCAGTCAGGAAATAAGAATGTTGGGCTAAGATGAACTTCAGTCAACCTAACCAACACTCCCCTCCCTCCTCCCTGTATGGCATGATATTCCACCCATAAAAGGACACAACGGAGAGAACAGCCAGACCCCCTACCCTGTTACACAAATTTCCGCTGCACTCACACATTCCAAGCTAAATGAGGAAATGTTCTTGCCGCCACTCAGAACCCGGGCCCATAAAATCTCTAGGTATAACCCCACTCAGGGTTGACATTCCACACTCCAGGTCAGATGTCGTACACTGGCTAATAAATTGTCTCTCCTCAGCCCCCATGGGGGCATCTTGGCATTTTGCTGCAACAGCCTAAAGGCCTGTCCATCAAAATTTGTCTTAATCTCAAATCAATCATAAATGATTTCTGAATAAATTCTCTTTTTCAAATTATCTGTGCCAATATTTGTCTCCATTATTAGAAACTAAAAGACAGTGACTGGAAAAGGAAAGAGAGAAGGAAGAAAAAACAATCTCTAGAGAACACAGAAGCAAAGGCCTTTTTGTTCCACTTACAAATCCTGGTGAAGCTGTAGATGTAGCATGACTGGTAGGATTTGTTGAAATTTCTTCTGAATCTAATTTATGTAAAACTTCAATTACACTGCCAGTTGATTCTAAAATTAAGGAAGAAAAAAAGCTTTATTTAAAATGTGACTAAAAACTACAGAATGCTGGTTAACAGCTGTCACAAGACCTCTATCACCACTCACAAACTGAATGTACGATGTTAGGCTCTTACTGAAAGACAGAAAGAGACCAAAAATAATTACATATTTTCAAAGGAAAACAAAGCATTGTTTAATATATCTCTCCCAGGTTCTGGAGAGGTCTGAGCTTTTCAGTATCTTCAGCTATTTTGTCACCATAAAGCAGGATACTTGTTTGCAAATATACAAGACTGCCAAAATTACCTCTGTTCCAGGTCACTACATAAATAAAAGGTCTAAAAATAGGTACTAAAAGTTCTTCTAGAGATAGAAAAAATCATTATCACTGAAGCTGTTGCTCTGGTATCCAAAAGGTTATAAAGGACTCTCAGTGGGCATCCATATATGCTATGATGTCTTGAAGCCTCAGGGATCCTCCTGCCAAACCCAGGGGACACTGTACTTCCTTCTAAACTCAAGACAAAAAGCATGAACCAAACTACAAATCTGAGATAATCAAATATGTCTGCTGTTCCAGGCAACACCAGTAGAGGTTTACATTTGGGCCACTGTCTCAAGGGAAGGTTATGTCATTGAAAGGCACATGCTCAAAGCACTACACTTGACAGACACTTGAATTGATCTTGGCCTAAACACTGACTAGTTCAGGTTTTTTGTGATTTAATTCTATAAAATAAAAACACTAGATTAGGTGCTCTAAAGAATCAACTCTTATAGAAAAGTGGTTTCTTTTTTGTTTTATTACTGTACTTCAAATACTAGAATCATCAATTAGAGTTTTAATTAACAGTCTCAATATTTTTGAAGCAAAAGAGTTTTCAAGCAAAAATTAGAAGGTCATCGTTTTTAATCTTTTTATTCATTTATTTACTTGGTACAGGTCTTGCTATCAAGCTCTAACTCATAGTAATCCTCCTGTCTCAGCCTCCCTAGTGCTGGGATTACAGGCGTGTGCCACCATGCTGGGTTTCAGTGGCTGGCTCAGCAGAATTGACATGGCATGGGGTACCAGGGATCCATCTTGAGTCCTTGTGCTTGCCAGGCAGGCACTTAGAACACCAAGCTATCTCTCTGGACCCAAAATCAAAAGTTTTAAAATAAAATTTCCCCCTTCTCTTTCAGTTTCATTAATAAATGACTGTTAATCATAAATTTATCTAAAATATCAAAATATTGAATACAAGAATGCTATCATGTATGATCTGAAATAGTCATTTTTCTGATATAGTCTATCAAACTTTGAATATAAAATCACTATGAAGAAAAATGTTTTTCTTCAAAATGACAGATTCATGACCATTTTAGAAAACTGTTTAAAACTTCATATACCAAATGGATATGTGAAAAAATAATGTAAATTTTATTTGGTACCTACTTCCATGGGTACACTACAGGTGATTAAATAATTCCAGTTAACAGGTATTTACTAAATCTCTTCTATGAGTTCAGCACCATGCTAACAATGAATACAAAAAAATTACATATATAACTAAGTGTTCCTCAATAGGTTGTACCTGCCTACCAAAATGCCCAAAGCTCTGGGTTTGATACCTTTCATGCAACGAAAAGACAAATAAAAAAACCAATCACCTACAAGGTTGTTATGATTTGTGTCTAGTTGTCCTCCCAAAGCCTCAAGCAGTCACAGGGCAGCTTCTGGAGTTTGTGACTGATTCACTATCCAATGCTGGAATTATGGATGTGAGTGCCCTGGGACAGATACTATGCATTACAATGTGAGGAGGCAAGAGAGGCTAGCTAGCTGCATGAGCTACTGCTCCTCCTTTTGCTCTCTTACTCTTTGTCGCCACTATGAACAGTTACTCTATTCCATGTGCCACTCTACCTTGAAACCAGCTGAATATGGACTGAAACCTCCACTAACTATGAGCTAAATAAAGTTTTCCTTCCTTCAATTTGAGTGTCAGGTATTTGTCCCAGGAACATGAGAAGAGTAACTGAGACAAAAGTACAGTCTTTGCCCCAGAGCAAATTACCAAGCAGTTAAGAAACTATAAATTCTTGGGCGGGGGGGGGGGGGGAGGCACTGCAGAGTGGTGGGGGGCGGCCCGAGGGGCTGGGAGAGGGTCCAGCCCAAGCGCCGGGGCATGAGTTCAATCCCCAGTTCCACAAAAAAAAAAAAAGGGTGAGTAGAACTATTACAATTAGATATTCCAGTAGAAATTCAACTAGTAAAAAGATCGGTGTAGCCCAGAAGTATGCATAAGTGGTAAAAGGAGGAAGAGCTGTGGTAGGAAGGCATTGAAACCAGGAATAAAACCAAAGCCCTAAAATGAAGCCACATCTCTTCTTACTGGATAAAAAGAACAAAGTTTAGTAGGTATAAAGAAACCATTGGGAAACAAGAGGAAAAGCATAAGGAACATATGGCTATATCATTAAGGATTTTAAAAACAACCATCAACTGGGGAATAGGAAGATTTAACACCTTGTATCATCCTTTCCTCAGCCACACATAGATGAAACAAAACAAAAAATAAGATTTTTTTTTAAAAAAAAACTAGAAAATACTAGTGTAAAATATCTTAAACATGAAGAGTTCTAAGATCTAGTAGAGCAAAAAATATGCCAGACATTATTTAAGGGTCTGAGTCACCAATGTGTTGCCTCTGGTTCTTTTGTCAAGGAGAAGTGGCGGGACTCTTTACCTCCAATATTCTGTGGGTGGCTGGCATTAGCAAAGTCACAGATCTTCTTCCAGTTAGCCTTCACTGCTTCAGGAGTTCCTGACTCGTTCTTTTGTCTGACAACAGCTCCCAGAGACCGCTCCCAGCGTACTAGTTAGAGAAACAAAACCAAGAAACTGAGCAGTTTAAGGGAGACAGAAAGCAAGGTATATGAAGAGTTCCTTAAAATTTTAACTTCAATAAAAAGGAAATTTAGAAAAATATATTCTAACTTCCAAAGACTTTTACTATAGCCTCAAAAAAAAAAAAAAAAAAAAAAGAAAGAAAGAAAAAAACTTCTAAAAATATGCAAACCTGAGAGGGAGATTCTCTTATGCTAGGTACTACTAAAGGAAAAAATATGCTAAATCTGAAAAGCTTACATTCTATAACAATCATACCAGAAGACTGACCCCAGACCACAGAGGTGAAGATATCTCACTTTCCTTTAACAGAAGTTGGCTAGGTAGTAAATTCTTGACTGGCAGTGGTAACAGGTCAAATATTCCAGTCAATAAATCAGATAGCCACAAATAATTCCCCCTTATCATTTCTTTTCTATTCTTCCATTTCTACAAAATATCAGGCTACAGAGATTCATTATTGCTGCATAAATTCTATTAGAATTTTTTTCCCATAATTTTATTGAGAAACAAATAGCAATGAGACAGTTTCAAACCAAATTGGTAGGACAGTTTCAATAATTAACACGTTGTATACATTCTTCCTAGTGGTTTCTATTAGAATTTTTAACAGTGTTTTCTTTTTTAAAATCGAGGTTAACAGTATCTAAACAAAATGGTCAGACTTTGATGACTGTTACATTTAAACTTTGTCTTAATGAATGACAGAAATGCCTGCTTCTAGATCTTTCCTATTGATAAACTGTCAGATATAGCTTTTATTACATCATTTATCTTCCTTTCTCAAATGGGTATCATCAGGTGATCAAATGCTTGAGAAATATAAATCATTTTAACAACTCTCAGCTATAAATGTTAAAAATAGTGATACGCCACAATACTTTGCAACAATGCCCTCCAGTGATATCAACTTTCTAAATAACTCCATTATGTGATTAATTTTGAAACCAGCAGCCAGCCAACTAAAAAAAGACTGAGCACTGGGATTTTTACAAATTTTTAAAATGCTCTTGTTAAGTTTCAAGCTCTCAAAGTCTGAAATAGGACATAACACTGAAGCCAAAAGAATTTGTGGGGCAGAGACGGGGGCACAATTGATCAGGTGAATTTCTGTCCTAGAAAGTTGTCCATTGTGATTGTTCAACTCTCTCCAGATGTCTCGAGCTACTACCTAAAACTCCTCCTCCTCCTCCCACTTGATTCTCGGTGAAACAGGAAAAAAAAAAAAAAAAAAGCATGTGATGCCATAGACATTGGTGGATAAGTATCAACATAGAAAGACTATGCTGTCTGAAAAAACAGCCAGTTCAGAACAAGACAGAACAAGTCTTGAAGAAGGACTACCTAAAGAAGCATAGATAATTCTTGAAAGTGTCTCTGGCCTACAGAAATACTGTTGTTATAACAATGTTAAAGTTTCAAATGCATGCACTAGATCAAGCATTTCACAAAATTCTTATTAACAGCTCTGATGGATATGCAGGTTTAAAAATATGGAAATAATACACAATAAGCAAACACTAACAAAGACTTACATTTTCCAATCCATCCTGCTCCAACCTAGAAAACAAGAGAAGTCAAACATTGTAAAATCTAATATAAAATCACCAGAAGAATTGTTTAAAAAGGCAACTACCTTACCAGGAGTATTAGAACACTACATGGTAACAAATAAAAGTAACATGAAGCTCTACAAATACCATTTAGCCTCATGTCTATGCAGCATCCGTGTCATGAGAGCAGAAAACTAAGGCAGCACACTGTAGTACAAATACGTGTAATAAAAAGGAACAAATCTGAAGCCACAGACCAAGACACCAGTTATTCTGACCCTTGTAAACCATTTAACCTCTCTAAATTCAAGTTTTCTTGTGTACAGCACTATGTATTTCATAGGTTTGCATGAAGTTTAAATAATATAAATTGTATACAACTATAGACTTGAAATAAATGTCGCCGTAGAAAGAATTAATGAATTTTAAAAAATAAAACTACATAAAGTACTGGGCTTAAGGAACTACACATACTCATTTTAGTAAAACATCCTTTATACAGACATAAGGAAAACGATCAAACACTAACAGCCACATAGAAAGATAAACTTCATTTCTACAGTTTTTTAGAGGTAACTTAGGAAAGCCCAAAGGATAAAAGTGTCTGATGTACAGAAAATCTCACTATGTCTTCAAACACCATTACAGTGCGTCAGAAGTTAAAATTAGAATCTCACATGCATATGAAGAGATAGACAGCAGATACTGTGGCTCTAATTACAAGTGTGTCACTTTTTATCACCTTCTGCCTTTCAAGGACTATGCCCATACCTTTCATAGCATTTTACCAAATTTCATAAATGAAGTTAAGAAGCTACAGACTTTCTCAGGTAATAAAAACAATTCTTCTCCACACCAGCCCCTCCTCCGTAGTGCACTGAGCTGGAAACAGAGTCTGGCCATGGTGGCGCATGCCTGTATCCCAGCACTGGGGAGGCTGAAAACAGGATCACCACAAGTCTGATCTGTGTAATGAAACCCTATACCAAATACACAAACCAGAAAACAAAAACTCTTCAGCTGAACTAGAGATTGATTGGCCACTGTATGTATCTACTGGAACTTTGCAAAGTGGCAATTTACTTTTAAGGTTTAAATCAGGATATTCCATACATCTCTTACTATATCAATTTTGTATGCAAATATTTCTCACTAAAATGGTTCACAGTGAAAAAAAAGCAACATAAAACTACCTGCAGTGATCCTAATTTATATGTGCACATCTAAAAAATGCACATCTCTCCCCCTAACTATATATGCTGATACCTGTGAATTAAGCAACCGCACTGAAGATAGCAATGTGTACTACTAGGGTCATGCTTGGAATGCCTGTCATTCTGGTCTTCTAAATACATACTGCTTGTCATGTCATATCAATTACTGCTATACTGTCTCTCAAGTAAATGTTAAAAAAAAAAAAGGGTAATAAATGAAAACAAGAGACAAGAAAAAAAATGTCACAGGTTAGTCCTACTACAATGCTGTACATGTTTAGATTTCCAAATTTCTGTGTAAAAACATGTAACTGTTTATTCCTATTGTTTAATACTTTTTTCCTTCACATTCTGTAGGTATTTGAAGTTTAACATATCAATACTTGATGGAAAGTAACTATTCCATGCTATTCTAAGATGTTTGATACCCAGACAGATGGTGAAGTTAAGCTCAACTGTCTGTTATAGGGTTATAATATCTTTAAGCTTATCTTCTGGAGGGTTAACAACTTAAGTTTGTAGACCAAAAATTAGAGAAAAAAAAGGATTGCAAGAATAGCCAACATTTTGGCCCTAGTCCTTCAACGTCAGTGAGGGCTCAGGACATAAGAGAATCTCTACTATAACATCTTGTAATTCAGTGGTGTACCAAATTTTCTGATCAAGGAGATTATGGGGCCACAGAGGAAATGAGAGATGATGTAGAGTGTGCCTAAGGAGAGTCACATGGAGAGAAAACATTCTCTCAGGCTTTCACAGATAGCAAATTGGTCAAGCAATGGCCGTGACTCATCCACATGGCTGACACTCGCAAAGGATCTACAAACTGTGGTACAGGGTTTCATGGTAAATCCTGAGGGCATTTGACTAACCCTGTCAGATACAAAAGTTACATTTCTTGTTATATAGGTCTTGCTTTATTTTGGTCATAACCATCCAACAGGAAAGTATACAAACAAGGTATAAAAAGTAGGGCCATATCAATATGCTGAGCTGTGAAAGGCTCAAGTCAACAACTTCTGACATTGCCAGCCCTGTGGATAACCCACTAAAGATAACCCACTACTATTATGGACTACTGGACTATATTGGATTATTTTGCCGAATTCATGCACCTACAATATTTAAATAGCAATGGAATACCCATTTCTGACAAAATTTTAAAAAGGGGATATAAATGAAGGACCATTTTATATCTGCCTATACAAAATAGGACAGATATCCAGCTACTTTCTCTTAATTCAATGAGAAGAAAGATTTGCACTAATAGTGTTTGGACAGGATATCATGTCTGCATCTTGTACTATAAATAACCACTATGAAGACAATAATATGCAATGTATTAATTACTGAAACTGTGCTAGTAATCGGTTTTGAAACTATCTCTTTGCTATTTGTTTCTCAATAAAAATAAAAAAATAAAAATTAAAAAGGCACATTTAAAAAATTACTGATTTAAAATGCACATCTAACAAAAGATTGGAAGAAAATACGTAAGTATTAATAGCAGTTCTCTCTGGATGGTGACACTGTGGAATATTTTCTGTGTTCTCATATATCTGAAGAGCATCAGGCCAAGTTTTAAACTCAAGATGTTTCACTTTTTTGTTTTGTTTTGTTTTTGTGGTACTGGGGATCGAACCTCGATCCTTGTGCTTGCCTAGCAGGCACTTATGCCTCTGAGCCATATCCCCAGTCCTCTGGTTTCTTTCTTTCTTTCTTTCTTTTTTTTTTTCAGAACCGGGAATTGAATTCAGGCCCTTCTCCCCGGTCCCTCCCTTGGTTTCAAATTTTTAAATTTTCAGTTATAAAGGTTTTCTCTGCCTCTTAATTTCCACAGCTCAAATTCAGCAGGTATATGATTAGAAAGGGGAAGTATATATCTCTGTTTGGACACATGGAAACCACTTTTTTATTCTCTAATTTACTTATGAGCTCTGTATTAAAATGTAGCAGGCTACTGTTATGTTATTCACTTCAAACTGAGCCAGAGCCTTGTGCTTTCAAGAAATATTCTGGATGTCACAGTATTCTGTATATATAGGTTGATTATTAAAACTAAGCAATGATGGTGACAGCAAATCTTCTAGAGCTTTCATCAATAACGCATGCCAGGATTTATCCCCACCATCAAAGAGTATAAAAAAAGGAAGGAGGACATTCTAATACACAACCATCCAGGCTAGAAAAAGATACCCACCCCAAATAACAGAAAGAAAAAAAGAAAAAATATATATAGATATATATATATATATGTTGCCTTCAAAAGACCTTAACGGGCTTTTATCACACAGTGAATAGTGGACTTCACTGCATGGTGAGATTATATGTGGTTTTTATTTCCACAATAAACACATAAAGATACATAATATAAAAGAGTAGAAAAGTTCACTACTAAAGTTAAAATAACAGGAACTGGAGAGATAGCTCAGCGGCATAAGCATCTGCCTGGCAAGTGAAAGGCCCTGAGTTCAATCCCTAACACACACAAAAAAAGTAAAATAATAAATTGTGTATATTGGTCTTTCAAACCAAGACTAAACTCCTGCTATACTGATAATTAACACTGCAAAAAGACTGGCTCTTTACAATTTACTGCTGTTACAACAAAGCCCAAGAAAAGTGTATTAATTTATACCAGCACTCAGTAAGCCAGAATTACCAGCAGAATTCAAAATGTGACTTAGCTGACTCTAAACTGTGAACTTTATCATTCTATTTCATCACTCTGTTTCTTAAATCAATGAGCCTTTCTGTATTTGCTTAAACACATTAAATGAGCCATATTTTCATTTGATAAGAATACTAGAAATTAAAAACAATCTATAACTCTGCTGTTACAGGTAGCAAGAACATCATTAGTTCACACTTGTTCCTTAATAATAACACATACATAATATTTTAAAATATAAAAGTAAAAATAAATAAAATAAAAATATACAAGTAATGTCAACTGCTACAGATTTTTACAAATGTAAGCACTAGAAAAATACCAATTTTAAAAGCATTTTTAATATCTAATTACACAAATGTTGTTTAGAAGAAAACTTCAAAATACCTCAAATAAGCCACCATTTTCCTCACAACTTTCATGACAAAGCCAAAGGACCAAGGGAGACACATACTCTGGCTTTAGCGTTTGAACAACATCTAAAATAAACAGAAAAAGTAAAAAGTATGTACATGTTTCCTGAATCATTTTACTTTCTGAAAATTTCTTATATTGATAATTGGGATTCTCTTTATCTAAGAACATTATACACATATAAGTAGTCTAATATTCAAATTTTTCAGAAGGTTTTTTATCAAAACTGAGACATACCCAAAGTATTCTCAAACTTCTAAAACTCTAGGCACTAGATTTACCTTCCCTCAATAGGTAATGTATTATTCACCAGAAAAATGAATTACAGCTGTCTAGGCAAAGACTAGTGATTACCACTATTTATGAGAATTTTAGGTTTCACTCATTCCCAAAAATATTATTCTCCTAGCTATTTAATGACAATCTAGAAGGCTACAAAACACCTGTGGCAACTGTAATGGCAGAGTATGGTTGAAATGCACCAAAGCCATCAGAGATAACAAAGTTAAAAAACTGTCACATCATTGTATTCCTTCTGTGATCAGTAAGTAGTTCAAAAAAATACTTACTGCACAAGGAACATGAAGACCTGGATTTTGGTGCTGACCCTGCTGTGTAGACAACTTAGGAACACATAAGCTACCTGCCCTGAATTTGAGTTTTCATCAGTAAGCTGATAGTTAAAATGCTTTCCCTTTGTATTTCACCAAGTTGTTCCAAGGCTCAAATGAGATAAAACTTTTTATACTGCATTTTATAATACCTAATATACCTTATAATAACTCATACTGTTATCTAAGGGATCAAATAAATGCCAACATGTGATATGATGAAAAATAATTTACATTAATAATGTAAAGTAAGAGATTTATAGTCCTATAATTAAACAGCAGCTCAAAAGTCTTCACTTAGTAACCTCTAAAAGCTCTCAAGTACATAAGCAATCCATAATTTTCCAGTCTCCACTACCTACATGAGAAAAACCAAAGATTCCAACTATCTCAAATTACACATAAGACAAATTCTTAGCCTATATGATTCATCTTAATATATACTATTCCTCTAATTCCCACATATCAATTTTCAGAAATGAATGTTAAAAGCATAATTATATGCATGGATTTAGATATGAGAGTTGACTAACTTCACATTAAATACAGAATAAATGCTTATAAAAAACCCAACTGGGGGCCAGAGAGATGGCTCAGTGGAATAAGCACTTCCCTGGCAAGCACAAGAGCCTGAGTTCAATCTCTGGTTCTGCCAAAAAAAATCTGAATATCCATCATTATGAGTGAGAAAAAAGAACAAAAAGGCCAGCGAGATAGGTCAGCCGACTAAGAGCCTGTTTAGGCAAGTGCAGAGACCGGGGTTCAATACTCAGCACCATAAGCTGCTCTGGCCCTACCACATGGCATGCTGAGCCGCCAATGGTGGTGCACACCTGTAATCCCACTACTGGGGAGGTTGAAAACAGGAGGATCACTAGGAGTCTAAGCTGCGTAGTAAGATCCTGTACCAAATACATTAAAAAGAAAAAAAAAAAAAAAATCCACCTTAACACTTCTGCTTTTTATTTTATTTCATATATTATCACTAACTTCATATGTAAATATTCTTATTTGTAGTACATTCTCAAACTGTTGGTCAGACAGCTTCTATTACACACAATTTTATAATTAAAAAAAACTCAAGAGCACAAATAAAAGGTCTATGAGGTTGTACAGCTAATAAGACACATGAAATCAAAATCAAAACTGAGGCTTAAGGGCTGGCCTTAAGATTAAAGTGCCTGTTTAGGCAGAAGTAGGGGCCGGGAGTTCAATCCCCCACCTGCCATGCCAGCCTCGCCCCCGGGACATGCTGAGACAGGATTGAGACTGGGCATGGTGGCACACGCCTGTAATCCCAGCACTTGGGAGACTGAAAAATAGGAAGGATCACTACAAGTCTGATCTGTGTAGTGAGATCCTGTAGTCACTGTACTAAATACATTTAAAAAAAAACAAAACGAAAAAAAACAAAAACAAAACCTGAGATTTACTCAATCTGGTGTTTCTCCCATATTAGCTATCATGACTATCTAGCATTACACTGAGGCCAGAATTCTGAAGGACACTGTTCTGTCAAAAATGAAACTATTTTAAGCCTTGTTAAGATAATACACACTCAAAAAGAAATAAAGTCCTACTACCATACTGCTAGGAAGACATGACTGCCCTGGCATGGAGAGCAGCAACAACCCTAACAGAATACTTAAGAGGTAGGCCAGCATCTGAGTGGGGTCCCTAGCCTAAAATCTTCTACACTGAACTTCATCTTTCAAGGAACATCAACAAAGACCAAGCTGATTATGTCTTCTGGCCACCAACATTAGCAAATTCAAATTCTGAAGAAAAAATTGCCAATTTAAAATACAATAAACACAGAAGATGAAGTAGAGTTCCTGATTAACAATTACCAAAAAGTCATGAATTTACACTACAGTGGAACAGAGACAGTGATTTAAAATGTGTTGCATAGAAAGCTACTGATTCAGAAAATAAAATTTCAAATCACGAAATGAGTATCAGTTCAAATGTAAAAAGTAAATGGTATCAAAAATATTTCTATTCTATCAAGTAGCTAATTTTAAAATATTCCCAGTCATCAATTGTTTTGTACCACTTTACAGTACCTTCTTTGACATATGGAAATAAAACTCAACACTCAAGTATTCTATCATATAACATAGATATACATTCTCGTCATGTGTAAATTTTTAAATTTAATATTTTCAAAAAGTTTGAAGACTCCCACTATCTATTTCAAGGCTGATTGTAAAACTTCAGTAACCAAAACATCATTATACAGGTGAAAGAACAAGCACCTTCAACACTTGAATAGAGACTAGAAGCAGCCACATATACGTGGTCAACAGATTTTACATAAAAGGGCAAAGATAAATTAAATAGTTACAACAAATAAGTAACTTTAAAAAGATGAACTGTTACATATTAATGGAGAATTATGAGACATAACACCCAAATGCCTTTATCCTTTTTTTAAAGAGAAAAAAAAATAAAAATAGAGCAACATAAAACAAAAATAGTATAGAATTTCAAAACAAAAATAGAAAATTTAACGATGACTGTTATACTGCATATTATTATCATCAAGTTACATTGCTCAGATTACCAGATATAGGTATGCAAGATAGATCAAACAAACACTAACTCTTCCTTTCAATAAACCTTAATTTACCTCCTAGTCCTTGTTATTTTCTTTAAATTTAAAGAGTATAAAAATAATAGATAAGACACTAAAAATGAAACACATTTTAAAAAAAAGATGAAAGGTATTCAATAGTGGCTGCTCAATTACATTGTTTTGTTTGTTTGTTTTTGCGGTACCGGGGCTTGAATTCAGGATCTTGCACTTGGCAGGCAGGTGCTTAGTCTACTGATCTATCTCGGGAGCCCTAAAGATAGTCTTTTTTTTTTTTTCTTTTTTCTTTTTTTGTGCTACCAGGGATGGAACTCAGGACCCTGTGCTTTCCAGGAAAGCACTTATGCCTTAATTACAGATATTAGCATATAAAACTGGTCAAAGTAAAAATTTTAAACATTAATTGCTACAAAAAAAAACTGATAGAAATAACACAATCATCTTAGTTATCCTGTATATATACTTACATGATTTTTCCCCTTCCTTTTTTTCCTATCTTTTGTCCTTTCCCTCATCTCAATGTTTACTGAGATGTTTATTGTTTATTCTTTATGTTCAGTTTCTATATTACTGATCTACTGTACCTTTCAGATTTTATTTATTCTTGCAGGTTCTTACATGAGACAATATGATGTTTACACATGTGGGTCTGATTTATTTCACTTATGAGTATAGCCTCTAGTTGCATCCACTTACCTATAATATCCTCAAGTTTATCTTTCATTATAGCTGGATAATACTCCATTGTATAAAAATACCTCCACTGTATAAAAATACCTCATCTTTCTTATCCATTCCTCAGGTGAGGGTCATTTGAATTATTTCCCAGATTTAGCTATGATAAATTGTGCTGCACATGTATCACTGTAGTATGATGTTTTCAGTTCCTTTGGAAAATTATCCAGAAGGGAAATAGCTGGGTTGAATGGTATTTCTAATCCTAGATTTTGAGGAGTCTCTGCATTAATTTAATGAGATACCAGATCACAGATCCAGGAAACTGAGAAAACACTGAGTACTACAAATACCATAAATCTCTACCCATGTATTTTAAATTCAAGTGGAAGAAAAACAAATATAAGGAGAAAACCTTGGAAGAAGGCACAGAAAGAAAAACACCTAAAAAACAACAAATATGAGCATGTCAGACTGCTTCAGAACCCATGTAACCAAGTTGAACGTGAAATATTTAAAGTAAAATTATCCATCTCAAAAGAAGAAATAAAAACTGAAAGATATAACAAACACAGTTAAATGGAAAGAAACAAAACTTAGGGATTGAACAATGAAGACAGAGAAAGGAGAAAAGTTAGGTAATAAGGTAGGTGCAAAACCATACATGTATATATACAAGATGGATATGGTAATTGTCCTAAGAATTTCCATCAGGTTTTTGAAAATAGCAGTTAATGGGTAGAAATCTCACCCTGACTAACTCTCTATGCTGATATCTGTGAATTAGGCAACTACATTAAGGACAGCAATGTGTAATGCTAAAACCATTATTGAATAAATATTCTTCAAAATTAAATTTATGTGCTAGATTTTAATATCCTTGACCCCAAGCAAATGCACAAATCTCTTTAAAAGGAGCATCCTTTACTTGCATAAACTGATCAATTCTAAGAGATTATTAATGCCACTGAAGTGGGTTTTGTGGGTGTGAAACAAATGGTGAGAACTTGAATGGGTCCTTCTTAACACTGACATTAAGTCTACTTGTTTATCAGGTCACACTTATCCCCTGATTTTATACACTTGCATCTATCAAAAATCTATTAAAAATAAAGGTTAAGAGAAAAGAAAGTCAAGCACAAGCTGTGAAAATTATTTGCAAAATATAGTAAGTGATAAAGGACCTGCTCTAAAATATAAACAAACACCTTAAAACTCAAAACCAGCCCAATTTAAAAATGAACAGAAGATCTGAATAGATCCGAAGAATATAAATAAAAAATAATAAGCCTAATAATAAAAGGTGTCCAAAACTCTTGTTATTTAGAAATCACAAGTTAAAAACAAGATACCACTAAAAAAAAAAAAAAAAAAAAAAAACCACTACACATCTATTAGAAAGATTAAAATTTAAAAGAACCTGGCATGGATATAAAGCAAAAAGAACTCTAACTTTTCTGTAAAGCCAAAACTACTCTAAAAGTTAAATATATGATTTTTAAATAATGATAAAATAGATATTACCTCATCCTATGTAAAAAATGATACACAATGCACCCATCTGTGCAAGGAGAGGGGTGACAGCAAGGCTGAAACAGGAAGATCATAACTCTGAGCCCAGTTGGGCAATGTGACAATTCCACATGACCTCTCTCAAATTAAAAAAGAGGATGTGGGGATGTGGATGTAGATATAACTCAGTGCAAAGATTTCTTGTGCCATAGAGGAGAGAGGGTGTCTGTGGGGTACAATTACAGGTTATGCTTAACTTTTCTGTGCTTCTTAATTTTTTCAACAAGGAACACAAATAACACAAAATGCTGTTGAAACTGGAAAGAAAAAAGGTTTTATGTATTAAAAAATTAAATACTTTGGGAAAGCTCATTCTATATGTTTGTGACAGAACTGAAAAATACAACTTACCTTCTGGTAGAACAGTCTGTGTCATCCGTGACCCAGCATTAGGGGCAATAGTGTTACAGTGAATGCTGTACTTCCTGCCTTCAATTGCAAGAGTGTTTGAGAGCCCCAAAAGACCCAGCTTTGCAGCACTATAATTTGCCTGGCCAAAGTTGCCATATATTCCTGCAGACGATGAAGTCATAATTATCCTAAAAGGAAAATAAATCTTTCAACATCATCTTTTCTATATCTTAATAACGTTGCAACTCCAACCCTGTGTTGGTACTGATGCATCCATCAAAATTAACTGTATATTGTCATTAGTATCTTAAAATCATAGTTCATGTATCTACAATAATATTTGTATAAAAGTACTCCCTCAAAATTCAACTATGAGATCTATTTGAAATCAATCCTTGGTCACAGCCAAAAGAATTAAAGTATAATAGTAAATTATCTTTCAAAAACAGTGTTTATAAACATAAAATATGGGGGCTGGGGAGATGGCTTAATAGAATAAGCGCTTGCCTGGCAAGTGCAAGGGCATGAGTTCAATCCCCAGTTCTGCCAAAAAAAAAAAAAAAAATCATAAAATAAACCAGCAATACATGTCACAATTTTAGCAAAAAATACTAGATCAAGTAGTTTCAGTTCCCTAGGCCTCATTACTTTAACCCATCTTATTTTCTGAGTAATACTGAATCCCTCATTAAAACACCCTCATTTTAGGGCCGGCCAAATAGTTCAGCAGATTAAAGCTCCTGCTTAGGCAGATGCAGGGGCCAGGGGTTTGATCCCCAGGCCTGCCATGCTGGCGGCCCTGCCCCCCCCCAGGGCATGCTGACATGGCAATTGAGACTGGGCATGGTGGCATGCACCTGTAATCCCAGCACTTGGGAGTCTGTAAACAGGACACTACAAGTCCCATCTACACAGTAAAACCCTGTAGACCCTGCACTAAATAAAAAAAAATAAAATAAAAAAACCTCATTCTACTTAGCACAAATTAAATGAATTCTATCACTTATTCTCAGAAAATGCTAAGAACAAAAATAAACTAGAAGTCTTCAATAAGAAGTATTACAAACAAGGTGCTTCTGAAAGGTATGCCTGAATCCTAAATTAACAGGGATGACTCTGACACCAAAGCATAATACTGTCCTTGGAATAAGTACACAGCATTGCCACGTTCTGAGTTACACAAGGAGGAGCTATCAAGAAAAGTCCTCAGTGTCTAAACAGACTATAAAACTAACACTTATCTAACCAGAAGCAGTTAGCCGTACACCTGAATCCTCGGTATTTGTACTTTCTAAAATGCCAAAAAAAAAACCCAGGAAAATCACTAATGATGAAAAGTAGGAGATAAGATATACTAACTAGCTCAGCTAATCTGTGACTATAAATGACAACAATTTAATGTGTACCAAAACATTTTAAAAGTCTACACATACCTGAAGATGCTTTTCCCAGAATCAAGCAATCATTTAATAATACATCATATAATCTTTCTCTTTTCCTTGCATACACACACACACACACACACACACACACACACACACGCACGCACTCCTCTTTGACAGCTGTGTGAAACTCTACCTTCCATAGTTCTGTTTCTTCATATGATCCCATGCTGCCCGGGTCACTTGAAATGAGCCCCGTAAGTGAACTCTATGGATTAGATCTAAAAAAAGAAGTTAATTTTATTATATATATAAGCAATCATTTACCTACACAAAGATGTTTGTTTTACATCTAGCATTCACAATCAGCTATTGTTAACCGCTGGGTAATCATTTTTGCTTTTTTTCCAGTTATGCTTGCAATCACTAATTCATATTCACATTTACAATTGTTCTCCCTATTATAATCTCCATATATACAAATACAATGCCACTTTTAATGCTTATTTGTGTAAAAGCTTGCTAATAAAGTTACATATGAATTTTACATATAGGGACCAAGGCTATAGCTCACTGGTATAGTGCCTGTCTGGCAAGCACAAGGTTCCGAGTTCAATCCCTGGTACCTCAAAAATAATAAAAATAATAATTTTACATATATATTGGCACTCAACACTAGTATTGAAACATAATCATAAACTACACATCTTATCACCAAGAAATAGTTACACAATATTCACTACATCCTTTTTATAAGATTGCAAATGAGATGAATAAGGACACATTAAAAAGCAAAAACTGAGACAGCTGTTTTCAGAGAAAATTTCATTTTCATGATCACTGAGGGAATATTGTTCAAATAGACAACTCTAGATTTAACAAATTTTTTTAGTTGTCAAGTTTTTTAACCATTCTTAGTTACTTTTCTTTTAATATGGGTATTCAACAAATATTATTATGTGTCTATTACAAGAAAGTAATAGTGAAAACAAGAGCTACAAACTAAAACAAAAGGGTAGTCAGGAGTGGTAGACTGCTTCTCTGATAATCAGAGAAAAAGATTCCAGTCCCTACCAGCTCCAAGGACCAACCTGAACGCCCACACCAGCAAATCTTACTTTCTAAGTTTCTTTTTCACTCATGGTGTGGGAAAAGGACAGCAACAGTTCTTCTTTGTTTCACTCTAAATCATAACAATGTTTTGTGTCTTCTTAAAGGAGTTGGAGGGACAGAAGTATGTACTATCAACAATGTCACACTTAACTCAATTTCCATGCCTACCATATCTCACCTATTGCTGTTTGCTTTAGTTCTGACATTCAGTCAATAGAAGGCCAAAGAGCAGGGGTAAAGAAAAATAAAATCACAACTGTGGTTTGTTAACCTAAATTCAATCTTTCCAATATGGCAAAGGAAAATGGAATTTCTGCTTATTTATTAGAAACTTCAAATATACACCCAGATTCTGTCCTTCCTTGTTTACAGATCTTTTCATTTATTGTATCCTAGACATACCTCCACACCTTGCTCTGATCTTGAAAAAAGAACAATCTGTTTGATAAACAAGTCAAAGGCTATTAGAGTTAACACTATGAGAAAATGCCAACAACCCCTCAAGCAGGAAAAAGAGAAACTAAAGAAAATCCTTTCTGTCAAAAAATTTAAACTTTTTAAAAAAATTGTGTTAATAGCCCACTTTTAACTATTCATCATTATTAATATAGAGCTTGTCATTTATACTAGCTGGAGCAAAAGTATATAGAAATAGTTTTTTTTGCTTAAATGTATGAATGCATCAAATTTTTAAAAGCCAAACCAGTATGTTTCACAGAGACATTAAAAATACTTACCCCAGTCTTCATCACTTATCCTACTGAAGGAACGGTCCCTCAGAATTCTAAAGTAATGAGTTTAGAATTAGAATTGGTTTAGAAAAGGGGAAAATATACACACGAAAACAACTCTATGCACTTCACTAAAAATGAAAAATGAATTACTCACCCAGCATTGTTGACCACAACATCTACAATATAAAAAGACAACAAGTCACAAATATAAAAGCAAGCATATTAAATTGCATTTGTTTATAACTCATATTTCTTTCTTTTTTTTCTTTTTTTTCCATAATTTTATTGAGAAACAAATAGCGATGAGACAGTTTCAAGCCAAAATGGTAGGTCTGTTTCAATAATTAACACATTGCATACATTCTTCCTAGTGGTTAATTGCTGTACAAGATGCGGACTTGATATCCTATTTACAAACACCATTAGAACAAATCCCTCTATTCATTAAGAGAATGTAACTATGTATCTATCCTAACCACTTTGAATACACAGATACAAAATGGACATTCATCTGTATCCCCTTTAAGTTCTATCATTTAAATATTATAGGTGTGTAAACTCAGCAAAATATTCTAAGAGTCCAGTAGTCCATAATAGTATTGGGTCTTCTGCTTCACTGGCAATGCTAGACATTGTTGACCTGAGTCCCCTATAGCTCAACATAACACCATGGCTTTACATTTCTTTCAAAATTGGTTTCTCTCAACCCCCATGGTAAAGAAAATATAATACTAACAAAACTGAATTTTACACCTAGAACCAAAAAAAAAACTGACTCATAAAAGTGCAAGTTTCATATTATACCTTGACCTTCCTCTCATATTATACCTGCACCTTCCTCTCAAAACTAAATTTTATACCTATAACCAAAAAAACCTGATTCATAAAAGTGTAAGTTTCATATTATACCTGCACCTTCCTCTTAAACATATATTTAAGTTTCTCACCCCGATTATGTACTGAAATTCAGATATATACAAGAGTAGCTGCTGTTAGTTTCTGAGGACTCAGTTATCCTGCACTCAGCCTCAAAATTCACTCAGAAAATTACAAGTTTAAATATCATTCCATGCCCTTCAAAAGGCAAAAGCTGCAAGAGAACAAAGATAAAAACTGACAACAAATTTTGATATGTAATTGTTATATTCTCTCCGCAAAGAAAGCAATTGTATCTTTTAGATTCAACCACCATCTTGTGGCTGTTTTCTTCCTATGACTTCAAATCTCTATCATCTCTGTCAAATGACGTAAACATGGCTCTTATAAGTACATCCTAATAAAATTAGAAAAACAAATACACTAGACCAAACAAAAAAAGAAGGCACATACTCAGCTTACAAAAGGCAATGTGTCTCAAACTGCGCACATGTTAGGCTATCATAATTTTTCTCTCTAGAAATTTATTAACCTTTTAGTAAGGATGTATGCAAGAAAACCAAGATGATTACGTAGAGAAATACACACTAAACATATTTCGAATGCTTCAGAACAATGAAGATTTTACACCATATGCTTCACCTTAATTTGTAAGATATTAGATCATATTAATCCAAAAGTAACAAAGATAAATTTAAAAATATTTTTTTAGGAAAGTACGTGTTCCTTTAGGACCATAAATGCAAAGAAACATCACCTATTCTTCCAAAAGCATCCAGTGCTGTCTTCACAATCTTCTCTCCTGCTTCCACTGAATCTGAAGGGAAGAAAAAATAGTAAAAACTTCAGCAATCTCCTCATACTCATTTCCAAGGAATATACACCTATATTGAAGATACATAACAAACTATAGATGGTTTAATGTTACCAAAGAAATATGGCCCTAGACAATTTTTAACCTACAAAAAAAAGGTTGGATTAGGGAGATAAACACTTGACAAATACTAACTAAAGCAGCACTCTCCCATATAACTTTCTATAGGAAAGAAGCTTCCTATTTCCACATAGCTCAATATAGTAGCCATCAACCATACATGACTATTAAGTATTCAAAATGTTTAGATAAAAGTAAACATTCAATTTGTCCCGAGTAACCTCACTGATGAATCCATAGCCAAATGTGCTGTTAGGATATGGGTCTGGTTAGAAAAGCTGGGCAGCCGGAGGATATATCTCCCACCCAGCTCATCTCCCCATTCTCTACTTCCTGGCTGCCATGAGGTAAGCAGCTTTCATTAACCATGCCTTTCCACCGTGCCATTACTGCCTTGGAGCCAGGCAACTATGGACTGAGTTCTCCAAAACCCAGAACCACGTTAAACCTCTCCTACTTTAAGTTGTGGGCAGCAGGTAGTTCATCCCAGAAACAGGAAAGCTACGTAATACAAGCTTGACTGTACAGAATATGTAGACTGATACAGAAAGAGAGTATTATACTTCTTATATTACTTTTCTTTTAAAAAATAATTTAAGACCATTCTATACAAACATAAGACAATTCTTTTAAGAACAAGAACATAAAATATCAAGAACAATTTACTGAATATATGTTCATTAATAAAAATACTGAACTAAACATATTTTAGAATTGAGAAAAAATTGTATCAAAATGTTTTAAATTCACCTGTATTATGCAACATATATAACTACAGAATTTTGGCATAACTAGACAAAATATGACAGCATCATTACACTGGCATGATGAGGTATTTCTCAAAGATTGTTAATAGTAGCCATCAACCACATGTGGCTATTAAGTATTAAGTGTTAAGGAAAATACACAGTACAGTTTTTTCAAATACCATACCATAATTGGCCACTGCTTTTCCACCTTTTTTTCTTATTTCTTCAACAACCTTATCAGCTGCTAAGAAGCCTTTGCCAACTCCCTTGAAGTCCCCTCCTAAATCATTCACTGCAATATAATAGCAAGCAAACAACAATTAATTTCTATACCTTAAAACACATTAGCAATGAAATTCTAATTGTCAGTTTATATCTTCAGTCATCTGTCCAGTGCCCTCCTACCCTGTCCCCATTGTACTACACATTCCACAAGACATGCATTTTCAACTCATACTTTGTTTTTATCATAAACAAACACTAAAAATACTTAAATATAGGATCATATTATGAAATTTTTTAACTACAACATTTTCCCTCTTTTGAAGAAAAAAAGATAATTCAATCACTTTTTAGAAAACAGTGAGTGGACTGGCCAGATAGTAGACTAAAGTGCCTGCTTAGGCAGGTGCAGGGACCAGGGTTCAATGACCTGCATGCTGTGCTGGCCCCACACCCAGGTCAAGCTGAGCCTGTGACTGAGACTGGGCATGGTGCCATGCAACTGTAATCCCAGTGCTTGAGAGGCCGAAACAAAAGGATCACTATGAGACTGATCTGTGTAGTGAGACCCTGTAGACCCTGTAAATATATTACAAAAAGAAAACAATTGGAAAATCACTTTAAGATTAGATATACAGCAAGACAATGTAATGTTTTAGGAGCAGAAAGCAGAACAGTGATTACTACAAAGGAAAGGCGATCAAAGACACAGTTTAATATGCTCCATGCATGCTATGTATATGAAATATCAACCTGAATCCATTAATATGTGTAATTAATGTCAATTTTTAAAACTTAAAAACAAAACTAATGATACAGCAATTCCACTTCAGGGTTTTCAGTCTGGAAAAATACAAAAGAGGGGCACAGCTGTATTGAATGAAATCTCTATTCTATTTATTTATTTTTTGGTATGTATTTAGCACAGGGTCTACAGGGTCTCATGACGTAGATTAGACTCGTTGTGATGCTCCTGTTTTCAGGCTCCCAAGCACTGCAATTACATGCCCAATCTCAATCACCATCTCAAAGCACCTTGGGGGCAGGGCCAGCCCTGCACAAAAGGGACTGAACCCAGGCCGCTCACTATGCCTAAGCAGGTGCTTTAGTCCGCTGGGCTATCTGGCTAGCCCTAATTCTAATTTTTTGAGGAATCGCCAGATATCCATAATAGTTGTATGAGTCTGCACTGCCACCAACAGTGGAGAATGGTTCCTTCTGCCCCACAACCCCTCCAGCATTTGTTATTGGTTGACTTCTTGATAGCCATTCTTTCTGGGGTGAGATGGAATCTCAGTGTTCTTTTAATTTGTATTTCTCCAATGACCAACGATGTTGAACATTTTTCCATACATTTATTTGTCATTTGTATTTCATCTGAGAAGTGTGTATTCATCTAAGATGTCCATTTTTGGATTGGGGCTTGGAATTGTGGGTGGCTGATTTTTTTCTTTATATGCTCTAGATAAGTCTTATCTAAGGGTCAGCTAAAATTTTTCCCAAATTGTGGGTTTTCTTTTTACTGTTGCTGATTTCTTTTGACATGCAAGAATTTTTCAAAATGATGAGATCTCAGTAGTTGATTCTTTGGAGTATTCTCCATGCAGTTTAGGTTTCATTCATGAACTCTCTGCCTACCCCTATATCTTCAAGATTTCCATGTATTTTCTCCTCCAGCAGATTTAGTGTTTCTGTTTTAGTATTTAGATCTTAAATTGTACTATAAAAAAAATTTAAAACAGAGGTTACTGCCACACAATGTAAAATATTTTCTCTATATGAAGAAAACTTTGTTTATAGAATAGTGATAAAATACACATATATGATTTTAACCTACCAAGTAGAAATTTTTATAAAATACACTATTTCACTGAGGATATAGCCCAGGGGCATTAACACCGGCCTGGCAAACACCAGGTCCCAAGTTCAATCCCTGGCACAAAAAACAAAATCTCTCTAAAATACGCTATTTCATGGAGAATGAAATAAAACACTTATTCAAAAGAGGTCAAAAAATAAAAATGATGCTACATCTAATCACACATAATGCCTATGTTCAATTATATTGATAGTCAGATCAACTGTGCATTTACTATTTTTAAGAAAACCTACAGTGCTGTACAGAAGTATTTACATGGTTAAGTATGGTGCTTGTGGGGGTCTGGGCCTAGTTCAGTCCTTTAAGTGGCTGCTTCCACAAAGCTGTCAGCCTCAGGTTGCTGGAGTTCAAACCTCACAACTCTCCCGCTGGCCAGACATGCCCTGAAGGCATTTGAGGAACAAAAAAAAAAAAAATCCTTATAAAAAAAGGGGGGGAGGCTGGAGAGATGGCTCAGTGGGCTAAAGCACCTACTTGAAACAAGCTTGGCAAAGCATCAGGGACCGCGGTTCGATCCCCCAGCACCACATGCCAGCCAGCCCCGCCCCCTGGTGGGCTGAGCTGGCCACACACACACACACACACACATACACACACACACAATAAATAAATAAATGTTAAAAAAATAAAATAAAAAAAAGAAAACTATGGTGCTTGTCCTACATGAGACTCTTGCTTATTAAAAGTGAAGTGCCACAAAAAAGCAATTCACAGATTTTTAGCATAAACTATGTATCAAGGCCAACACAACAGAAAATTAATTACTTAATAATTCAAGACAGTGCTTAATTTGGCAGCACATATACTAAAAAAAAAAAAATTAAGACAATATGTACAAAATATGCAAAACTAACAAAAAATATTTGTATCAATTCCAAATAACTAGATAAAGCAACACTTAAGAAAAAATACTGGAAATGAAGAATTTGCATACCAAGGTAGTCATCTTCTTGACTGTAGATTCTGAGGACCATAACAATAAAAATTACTGGGCTGGGGAGATGGCTCAGTGGAATAAGCACTTCCCTGGCAAGCACAAGGGCCTGAGTTCAATCCCCAGTTCACCAAAAAATTAAAATAAAATAAAAATTACTAACCAATAAATGATGCAGTAGTACTAAAATTTCAATATTTATGATTACAACTGGGGAAAAGAATAAGATTTTTTTCAGAAGAAAATGTTTTGACAGGTTTTCTATTTGGTTTTGTTTTTTATTTGGAGTGTACAAAGTGAGTTTAGGTGGTTCAGAAGATAGGGATGATACTGAGAGAATACATTACCTAGCCACACTTAAAACCTACAATGGCAAAAGCATTCACTTTTGTTGTTCCTTTTAAGGAAATGCGTTTTTCACAATGCACAATTGCATATATTCTTTCTAAAAATATATTAACAGTCTTACTACAAATAAAAATTCTGGGAGCCAGGGAGATGGCTCAGTACAACATGTGCTTCCCTGGCAAGCGTAAGTGCCTGAATTCAATCCCCGGTTCTGCCAAAAAATAAATAAATAAAATAAAAATAAAAATTCTGAAGGGCTGGCCAGATAGCTCAGCAAATTAAAGCGCCTGCTTAGGCAGAACGCAGGGACTGCATTTGATTCCCAGCACCACAAGCCATGCTGGCCCCACTCCCAGGTCGCACTGAGGCAGTGACTGACAATCCACTTTTTTTGTATTTTAGGACAGGGTGTACAGGGTGAACAGGGTCTCACTACTAGGTCGGACTCATAGTAATCCGCCTGTTAACAGCCTCCCAAGAGCTGGGATTAAAGGTGTTTACCACCACGCTGTCTCAAATGCCATCTCAGCGCGCCCCGAGGGTGGGGCCGGCATGGCAGGCGCGGGGATCAAACTCCTGGCCCCTGTATCTGCTTAAAGCATGTGCTTTAATCTGCTGAGCTATTTGGCTGGCCCTATCCACTCTTTTTTAAAATCATCTTTTTTTCTTTTCACAGTACCAGGGATCAAACTCAGGACCGTACGCTTGCCAGGCAAGCACTTATTCCACTGAGCTATCTCCCCAGCCCTTGAGGCAGATAACTGAGACTGGACGTGGTGACATGCATCTGTAATCCTAGCACTTGGGAGACTGAAAACAGGAGGTTCACCATGAGTCCGATCTGTGTAGTGAGCCCCTGTAGACCCTGTACTAAATACATAAAATAAAAATAAAAATGCTGCGGAGACACAATATTTTGTGTATGCTTTACATTTTCCTTCAAGAGATGAAACTGTACATGCCAGAGAGATAGTTCAGTGGACTAAAGCACCTGCTTAGGCAAGTGCAGGGACTGCGGTTTGATCCACAACACCACATGCCGTTCCAGCCCCGCCCCCACGGTGGCTGAGCCAACCAGAGAGTCCAGGCATGGATATGCATGACAGTAATCCCAGTGCTGGGGAGGCTGAAAACAGGAGGGTCACTATGGGTCAAAGCTGTATAGAGAGACCCTGTAACAACCAAATACATTAAAAGAAAGAGGGAGGGAGAAAAAAACAACTATAGATTCTTAAAAGTCTAAATTACTATTAAATGTTCACTTCCATGGAATTACTGTATTCAAATGACAGGAAACTTTTTTTTAAAAACAATTAAGATTTGAAAACATTTAGTAGGGCCGGGGACAGGGTCCTTAGTTCAATTCCTGGTACCACAAAAAATAAATAAATAAATAAATAAAAATAAAGATTTAGTAGTCTTTTATGACTTTAAGCACACGAAATTTCAAAATCAAACTGGCAAATACATCACTGAAGTGAAAATGTTCAATTCTGCAATAAAATACTACCTCCAAGTGGAAATTTTACAAAGTGCAACCAAAAAGGCACTAAGCCTGGATAAATAATCTGTTGGGGACAATAATGTGCATTATCAGGAACTTACTGAAAGCAATTTTCTACATTAGACACAAATTAAACTCTAATCATCTCAATATCACTAGAGCTATAAATCACAGTCATTAATATTAGAAAAGCACCACTTTCCAGCACAAGCGCTTAGACATCAACAATGTTAAAAATAATTTTTGTAGTTATGGAAAATACACTGACACTGTTATCACTCCAATGTATAACTAAAATATAGTACCAATAATAATGGTACCACCAACCTATACTAATAGGTGTTTTACTTCACATTTTCAATGAGCCACTTGGAACATGGATGCATTTAATCTTTACGCAACTCT